AGGATTCGAAGGTGGTTTCTGGAGGTCAACAAAATGAAATTCCGACGGATATTTTTCTGCAACAGCACATCCCTTTGCAATTCGTGGAGGTGACGGTTGGTGGAGTCACCATGATGACTATGTCGGACGAGACCATGGATGACGTGATCTTCGGGAGCTCTGCTGCTGCCACAAAGTTTGTGGAGGAACTCGATGGCCAATTCTCCGGGATGCCGACCGCAAAACATTTGTTGTTGATCCCTCAGTTGTTGTCTGATCTCCGCAAGAGACTTGTCGATGCCCTCGCAGCCGATAACTTCCAGCACATGTATATGACGAACGATTATGGGGTCGTGTGCTATTTCTTGAGGGCCTCGTTAGTTTCAGTTCGTATGGCGAAAAGCTCGAGCGTTATGGAGTGGTCGAGAATTTCCTCGTCAAACTCCTGTCTGAAGTTCTTCGGCCTGATGTTCATGGGGAGGATTATGTTGCTTGGGTTTGTGACCGAGGTGCTCGTGCATGTAGCGGCGAAAAGTTTTCGGGCCATTCATTGTTGTTCAAGCACACGAACAGAGATGACAGTTAACTCATACATAAGCTTTCTATTCTTGCTGCTAGATGGATGTTGCATGTTCTTTATTTTAAAACTAAGGCACTGCTTGGTCTTTCTTTTCCAACTAAGGCTTTGATTGATCATGTTGCCATTTTCCACAATATAATAGGTTGGCAGGTTTTATTTGGTGATCTAGCATTATTCCACAATTATATTCATGCAGTGTATGAAGCCATTGGACCTACTACCATCTTGATGCCATTCACAGAAATTCTAAAGGAGGACTTCTTGGACGTGGGCGACAACTCATATGATGACGAGCTCACCTCGGATTCGAGGGCGAATCGTTCTCAACCGGGGGAGGATGATGAAGACGAGCTGACGATAGTTTTATTGGAGAAATACGCGAATCCCGACGTTAAAATTATAAATTATTCGTATAGTATTTATTCCTAATATTTTTTATTTGTCTTTTTATTCCTAATATTCCTTATTTATCTTTTTATTGTTAGGATGATGTCTATCGTTTAGTATTAAAACTTGGTCAGTAAGTTAAGAGTTTAAGAGTGTTTGGAGTCTATTTATGTTGTGTAAACTGATGGTAACGGGCAGTTGAAGAATAATAAAGAATTTTATCGAGTTTTCACTCTTATCGTTCCTTTCGTTCACGCTTGTTGCGTCAAAAACAACAGGCATAAACATAACCAAACCAAACACTAGGCAAAATAAACACAATACATAACAAATGCTAAAAAAGGTAGATATCACTGACATTAGACCTAATACTTCCCATTCTAATTCCTGAAAGTGTCTGCTAACCAAGAAAACATGTCCAATCCTGGCAGGCTGCTCCCAAAATGACTTGCTTTGTGTTTCCACACACCTTCAAACAACCATAAATCCCGAGCTTTTTATAACCACCACAATATAAATATATAGGTAGACATTGGATGCGAGCCATAACGTTATCCTTCTAATCCATTCAGCTTATCCACCACCATCATTCTTTGAAGGTGAGTTGATCAGTTTGAACAGGAATCCAACACACATGAGCTAATTTCCAAGTATTTCTATCTTTAGAGCATTTGAAAAAGATGTGTTCTTTAGGTTTCTTTAGCCTCTCTACAGATTTTGCAAGTCCCATCAATGCAAACTCCCTTCTTTCTCTTCACATTTGCACCTACAGGAAGTACATTAGAGATGCATTTTCATAGGAAATGTTTCACATTCCCCAGTACTTTCAATTTTCAACATCTCAATCTAGCTTTATGTTGGGTCTCCTCCTAAATTTGGAGTAAATAGATTGAGATGTGTTCCGATTCATCTGAGCCGCATGTCGATCGCCACGAACACCTGCAAGAACTCAACGCCGGAGGAGTTTCCAGCGTAGAGCCTATGATGCTTAAGTCAGTATCAGAAAGAGATGAAAGTGCTCTGCTCAGGGAGCAGCAGCAACAACATATGGAAATGTATAGAGAGTATATAAATTAGGGTTTGGTGTTACCTCAGCCCATTTTATAGAGGAAAATACATGCTCGAAATACCCAAAATTCCCCTGGTCGACAGGCTGGTTACCCAATTTATTTGTATCCTAATCATTTCTTAGTCAGGTCTAAATCAACTTAAGATTCCATTTTATCCTATAAAGATTCGTTCGTATCCGTTAAGCATGTTGCATGCATAGCCTCATTTGTCGTCACACACCTCAAGCCTCGAAGTATACGGAGTCGACCTCGAGTAGCAAGAGGTCAACTTGGAGTCATCATATAAATGAAATATATTAGGTTTTATTATTCGCTCTCGAATCATTCTCGTCTTTTGAATGCAGTAAGTCGACCTCGTATTATGGTTAAGGGAGTCGACTTTTCGACTTCCTCTGTCGTGATGATATAGATAGTCGACCTCAAGTCATATAATTAAGGGAGTCGAATTGCAGATGTCAACTTCCTCTGTCGTGATGATATATAGAGTCAACCTCGAGCTGCTGAAGGTTCAAGGTCGACTTCAAGATGCTCCTAATGGTGAGGGAAACTATCGCTAATATGCTCATCTTTCTCTAGTGTCGAGTCATGAGATGAACTCTTACGAGCT